CTACAGAAACTCTCTTATTCAGTGCTCTAATCTCAGATTTGAAAACAAGCAAACAAACAAAAAACATTTTAACCGAAAGTAGGCAGAAGTGTTCAGGGGGTTCAGGAGGTTTTCTCATAATTTAATTTGACCTTCCATAGTGACTGAGGCCCCGTCGCCGTCGCGTGAACAAGACAAAGCCGTCAGTGAACACAGCATCCCATTGGGTAAGTACAACACATATAAACACTATGACGGCATACCAGTAAAATCACTGAGGATCACTGAGTAGCCAAAGTACAGTCTGTATGTTTCTTTTATTTTAAACACCATAAATGAAATAGTTTCAGCAGCAGCTGCATGAAAACTGTATCAAATTTCAGCATAACAAGTTTTTTTGAGCATTTGAAGGTTTGTTTGTTAGGTGACACATAAAGCATATTACTTTATATTTTTGCACCCTGGTTTGGAGTTTCAATTAGTGTTGTTATTTAAGTCCAGGAGTGTAGTTCTCGGTCTTAAATGGCATCCTGTACATCTTCTACTGGAAACGTTGGTAGTGAAGAAAAAAATCCTTTTTCCAAACTCACTGTGACCTTCTGATCACCTGCACAGTTATTCTAAATAATTACAAGTTACAGGTAACTAGTGACTTAAAACCTGACTGTATGTAGAATTTGGTTAGTGTTTAGTTTCTGCCGCTGCCATCAAGACAGACTGGTATTATCCTGATGGCCCGGTGGTCCAGGACACATCCCCAATGACTGAGAGGTCAGCAGACTGAATCCAGTGGAAGTTCTTTAATCCATATATGTCAAAACAATGTGCTTGGAACCCGCTTATCGCCGCTTGCAGCTATATTTAATCATTGCCACGGACACAAGCTGATGGAGTCCTGAGCCTGCGGTATTGGTCCTAAAGATAAAGTATTATCTTATACACCATTAATAAGCGCACTGACAACCTGTTGCATTAGCGCTCTAATTGACTGGAATCGCTCGGCCACTTGCTGACCTATTTCTGAGCAGGTTGTGAAATGCACCCCAGAGGGATGAGTATTTATATGATGAGGTTTAGAATGACAGCACATGGCCAGTGTTGGGTCGGCTGCGTGGAGACTTACGTAAGTCCTGCGGCCGCGGAGCAACAATAGACCTCAGTACAGACACAGGAGCAGCGTGTGTCATGAGTTGTGCGGCTATTTCTGCTGTATGATGCCCCAAGAATGTATGTGTTTGGGTGGCCACGGGCAAACAGAGTGCGCTGACAGTGTTGCTGAAAGAAATGTAACAGCAATGAGTTGTGTGGTTGTTGCTGTGACGTTTTTTTTTTTCTTTCTTTTTTATTGCGTTTATTAGAAATGAGACAGTCACAGCCACACGTGTGTTGTTGAAGTGCATCATAGTGCTTAGAGAGTATTGTCCCATTTTTTCTAATTCATTCAGCATAGCAGGAAAAAAAATGATGGTGTGTGTGTGTGTGTGTGTGTGTGTGTTTCATATGTACGGTCCTACGTTAAAAAAAAATATAGCTTCCGGATTTTTATTGTTTTTTTTTATTTTTTTATTTTGTGTGTGTGTGATGTTTCCCAACTTGTTCTGATTGACATATTTTAGGTTACACTTGTGATATAAAGCACTTTACATTGAAAATCCGTTTACATATGCCAGACAGGGAAGGATGATATAAGCAATACAACATACACTGACAAAACAGATGAACACAAGTACAAATAGAACAAATTAGAATGATGAGCCTCACACAGCATTAAAAAAAAAAAAAGTTCCAAAAGGGGTTTCCATTTCATTTTTGATCTTTTTTCTGTGAGATTTAATGTCTTTTTTTTTTTATTCTTGTGAAATTTATTGACTTTAACCAATCAAAGTGGCTTCAATTTAGTAGCTGGAATATAGAAGAAGGTGTTGTTGTAAGTTTATTAGCAGAGGCGTAATCCTACAGGTGCAAATAGTACAACCAAAGGTAGAAGAAGTATTCTGGTCAATCACCTAAGATGCAGCAATGTAAAAATTCTCCATAACAAGTACAAGTCCTGCATGAAAAATCCTACTTAAGTGAAAATAGTAGTAAAAGTATTAGACGCAAAATGCAGTAAAAGTAATAGTCAATCCCCCTCACCTATGTGTCTATTATACATGACATGATTAGATTAATAATACACAAGCATAAGTGTGTCCGCAGCAATAAATATTGTAGCTCCTGGAGGTCTGAACTACTTCACATACAGTTTTATATACAGGGACAGCAGATCAGTCTCAGAGGTCAAGTAATGATTAAAGGGATAAGATAGAGACAAAGTTATCTGTTATCACTGATTTTTGGTGAGATATTGGATCAGAAACATGAAATTAAACCATGTGAGAAGCTTTGAGAGAAATACACTGACAAAACAAATGTACAGGAGGATGGACCAGATCCATTAGAATGATAAGACGATAACAATTACAACATTTACACCAAGGTTTTCAAAATATAAAATACAGTTTAAAAAATAAGTAAATAAATTGGTCATTCTATAGGTAGAGGGTCAGAGCAGCGGAGGATGTTTACAAGCTCTCTGCTGGGATCTGCCGACACTTTGGCCAAATCAGTTTGTCACAGTTGGTGCTTGGTGCCCAGTATGAAAAGATAAATAATTAAATGACATCCCCCTAGAAAAATTTTAAAAAATCAAATTAAAAAAAACGCCCGGGTGCGGTGCGGTGCGGTGTAATCTGAACCCACGCCAGCAGGATGTTCTCCGGCAGCCACACAGTAGATTAATAGTTGATTAATGTTTAATATCTAAGCCTCACACAATATTTGAAAGGTTTAGAAAATAGTTTTCATTTCCTTTTAATCCGTTCTCTGTTGACTTTTTTTCATTTTTATATACTTTTTTCATTCTTATATCATAAAATCTTCATATAATTGACTACAATCAATTAAATTGGCTTAATTTTAATAGTTAGAATATAAAAGAAGGTGGTATGTGAGTTTATTCACAGAGGTATGATTAATGTTCTTTGTGTGATTGTGGATGAAATATAACCTCATTGAATAAAAAAGATGTTTTATTTTCCAGGCCACTGTGCAGACCTCTTGTGAGGCCCCTCATCTGTCACGTGCTGATTTCTGGGATTAAATCCTAATTATTGTGTTAACAGGAGTGGAGTTCATTGTGCCAAGAACCGGCTTCTACTGTAAACTCTGCGGTCTGTTCTACACCAGCGAGGAGACTGCAAAGACGTCTCACTGCCGCAGCACTGTGCACTACAGGAACCTGCAGGTAAACACTGAACACGCCACACCGCCAGGTGATGATGAGAAACGATCTGGAGATCTGGACTGAAATATGTCTGCATTTTAGTCAGTGTTTCTCTCTTGAATTATATCATATAGGCACATCTGACTTTGTTTACACATGCACACATCTGTCTGGGCATTTGATGTCACTCGCGTCTGAAGTGTTAAAACCTAAAATCTGTACGTCTGCACGCTCTTCTGCGCTGAGGCTTGTGTTAGTGTGGTCCACAGTCAGTGTGGTCTGGTAGCAAAAGGGCTGAGATTCTACCACCTGTTGTCGGACTGGTGAGTAATCGCTTTGTTTCATACTGTGCATTGAGCACATGCGTATTATATCAATTTTCCTTGCCTTTCTTCATATGCTGGTTTTATTATGAGGATAAATCTTACCTTCAAGTTTGCATTAAATATGCTGTTCTCTAAACAGAAGTGCAGCGAGGCAAATGTATCACCTGTTGGTTGATGCGAGCCTTAAAAATGTACTGTTCTGTATGAACTGCACGACTCACGTATTTACGCACAAAGCATATCATCCATTACAATCGCACCAATTTGAAAATATACAGTACTTTTTGAAAAACTCTTTTGCTCTCAAAAGAAAAACTAAATAATGAAAAAAAGAAGTACACCTGGGATTACAGTTTGTTAAGTAATCACCACATCAGTCAGCATCAAATTCATATTGTTAATAAATGAATTGTTTTAATTCATTTATTGTGGAAACTTTTGCTGGCTCCGCTTTGTCAAATTTAAGGATTTACAGTATTATATTTGTTTGTGTTTTGTGCTGTTGGTCGGACAAAATAAGCCATTTAAAGGCATCCCCTTGAGCTCTTAAGCCTTTTAGACATTTTTAATCCTCAAGATGTCTTCAGATGGACAAACACAAACAAATGCAGAATCACACCGTATACTGTCACATCCTAGCTCACGCACAAACATACACACTTGCATGTAAACTTGCAACTGTATTAGGTTTCCGGTTTTTTGGCCAGTCAGCACCAGGCCTTCTTGCATTTCTCTCGTCCCCGGCAGCACAGCTGAAGCAAACCAGAGGAGCGTGATTCCCTCACATTTGATGGATTACATACCAAGAGGAAAAAAACAGTTTTAAACAGTTGTGCTGTCTGTCAAAGCTCTGCGTGTATGTGTGTGTTGTGGTGTTTAATACGCTTTTTTTTTGTAGTTTCTGGTCATAGATTTATGCTTCACCTTTCTCATCTACAGCACGTAGCTGGCAGGCATTGTGTGGTGGAACAAGTTTGTATGGACTTTAACAGAATAAAAGAATCTCAGCACTGAGCCAGTTTACCAACTTGGCTCTTTGATGTATATTTGATGATATTATATCCACATGATTAATACCTTAATTTACAGATTCATATGTGTTATTTCATGGAGCGTTTGAACTACCGGTGACTGCAAACTAACGCTTGTGACGCTCATCTGAAAATTACTTTTAAAAAATCTACAAGCAGCCGTGAAAAAGTTTTGTAAAACTATATAGTTACCTCCAACATGCTGTTGACTCACCAGATGGTCTGAAATGCTGCTCAATTCTTTAAGATGGAACTTTTCTGTCCTGGTCTTTCTTTGCAAAAAAAATAAATTAATCTCTGTGACTGAATGGATTTAGTGTAACAAATCATTGCTATAGAGGTTTTAGTTTTCTTTCTAATTTGGAAAAAACAGATCGTATTGCCTTATGTTAGGAAAGACATTTGTGCTGTGGAATCATTCACACACTCATTATTTTTTTTTTTTTTACATACACTGATGAGTGAAATAATTATTACCAGTCGCCAACACAGCTCTCCGAAGCAGCAACGCTTGTCCACTCTGCAGGAGGTCTGGATAGGAACGAACCATGAATAGGTGGCAGGGTGCTGGAGGATTTACTGGAACAAGTCTGATCCATGAGGGCTCCTCCAACTTACAGGGCTTAAAGGATCTGCTGCTAATGTCTTGGTGCCTGATACCACAGGGACACATGCAGAGGTCCCGCAGAATCCACGTCTTTGCTATTCAGTCGCCGTGCAACGGACACTTTAATAAAGATTGTTCAATAATGCTGCGGCTCATGAGTTTATATTTTTTGTAAATTCTTTTTTTTTTTTTTCCTTCTTCTTCTTTCCACAGAAATACTTGTCTCAGCTGGCAGAGGAGAGTCTGTCAGGTGCACTCACTGAACCCTCAGCAGCACAGTGACAACAGCGTGACCTCTCACCAGTTGCACAGCGAGCAGCAGAAGAAAGAGTTGCGTACGTGAGCAGTTTGTGCAAAGCTATGGACAGCTACAGCATAGATAATCGAACACATTAAACTAGAATATTGTGGACAATTGCAATAATAGTTTTGGTATTTGGGGGGGAGAGTAAAGCTTGAAGGTCTTGAATGGCGCTGACAGTCTGAGATACTCTCAGTTTTGTACAAAGCTTACGTGAAATGTAAAGTAAGGCCGTGATATTTAATGACATTTTTCTTACAGTTTTTGTTTCATTTGGGTTGTGTGAGAGAAAATTAACTTGATATTGTATTGGATTGAAAATGCAATATGTATTTACAATTGCTAAGAAGACAATCTTTTACAGTATGTTAGTCTATTTGCTAAGTTCAAATCAATATATTAGATAATATAATTTAAAATTTTGCCTGTACATTATTCAAACAATAGAAATACATTTACAACTGCAAAATGACTTGAAATATGTTTTAAGGAATGTTTTTTTTTTTTACAGTGTGCCTGAGAGTTCAATGAGCTGCAATATTAAAAACAGGCAAATAGATAAAACTAAGGACGCACACTTGTAGCACTTGTAGTGTTTTCTAACTTTGCAGATTTTTTTTTTCTAAATGCTGTGCCAATTTCCAGATTTGTGAAAATGTTTTCTTAGTTTGCTTGTGTTTTATCTACTTGTATTTTGTTGCAGCACGTTTAGGTCTCAGGGCCACCATATTTATTCTCAGTTTAAAAAAAAAAAAAAAACTGAGGCAGATTCTCAGGTTTGTTGTATTTTTTGAACAGATTTCAGTGTATAGAACATTTACATTTCTATTTGTATCTGGGGCTTTTAAACTCTTGCAGTTTTCTTATATCGTGTACCTGTTTGTGCACTTGCAATATCTGTCAGGTGAAGATGAACATCATTAGGATTAATAATGATGCAACTATGCAAAAGATCCCAGTCCTATTTGCCATCATATGTAATGCCTTAAATATCAAAGACCTTAAACTGGACCATGCGTTTTATTTATCAGTTAAACATGAAGTGTTTCTGGTTATGGTGATTTGTTATGGAAGGATTATTAAGCCAGACTCTGTTTTTCTATACTGTGAATGCTGATCCTGTGACATCAGTAAAAGTGTTGTTTTCCTTGTCAAATTTTTCACATGATTTTTGATGCAAAAAACTTGAATAAACATGGTGAATGTTTCAAATTAGCGGCCTCCTACTTTATTTAAGACTAAAATCCGACCATTCACCTTGTTTGGACAAGTATGTTTACCTTATCTCAAGTGAAAGTTGTAAATTTTACATATGTCATAACAGCTTAGTTAAAATCCAAGTAATCGTAATAAGACACCAATCCGTCTGCTTCTGGTTTAATAGGACTTGAATGACACTGTTGTAAAAGAGCTCCCCCAAGTGTCAAGGCAAAAAACACATCTGTTCTGTAACTCCGTTTGAACCAGTGGTGGAACAAGTACACAGATTATTCATTAAAGTAAAAGTACTACTGCAGCAATGTATAGAGAACAAACTCCATTACAAACAAAAGTCCTGCATGAAAAAAAATGAAAAAGTATGTAAATATTACCAGCAAAATGTAGGTACAGTATGAAAGTAAAAGTACTGATTAGGTCTCTCTGATTGATATGCTACTATTATTACTATGACCAGGCTTAGATTATCAATACAGAAGCATCAGTGTGTCAGCAGCATGCTACTGTTGTGGCTGCTGGAGGTTTAAGCTACTTTTTTTTACGATGTTTTATATACTGGAACGGTATGAGGTTATGATTACAGGGTTCACAAATCTGTTTTCAGTGTTTCTCCAATTATTTATTTATGGTGAGGTATTGGGTCATTTGAAATTTCAGTGAAATGAAACCATGTGAGAAGTTTAGAGCGAAAACTCACATCATGGTTGAGCCAGTTACAACCTTGAAATCTGAAATTGAAAACCACTGGTTAAATCTTTAACAATGTGTTGTTTTTTAAAAGACTCTTATATTATTCATTGTGTAAAATTTCCATCTTGAAACTAACTAAAGATGTCAAATTAATTTAAAGGAGCAGAAAATTGAATATTTTCATCCAAAATGTCATACAGTGGAAGTTTAAAGTGGCATAAAATGGGCTTAATCAAAGTCAGTATATCAAAAATAATTAAAGTACCATTATTTCATAAGAGGCCAACTCGTGGTGAGAACCCCCAAAATCAACTGTGTAAACAATTGTTGTGTCACTGCCACAATCAGGAAGAAAACACAAACTACTGAGAAACAATTGGTCAGGATGGCTAAGAGTCAACTAAGAATCACCAAAAAGCAGGTCTGCTATAATTTGGAAGCTGCTAGAACAGAGTGAAGCTGAGTTACATCGCCAAGCCTTTCCTCCAGAAGTGGCACCTTAACACTCAACTTAAGTTTGCTGTTGATCACATTAACAAAGATCAGGTGAAACAAAAGTAATAATTTTTTAAAAAGCTACTTGGACACAATGAGCAGAAATGAAAAGGTGAGGCCTTTAATCCAAGGAACACCAAACCTATCATCAAGCACGGTGGTGGTAGTATCATGCTCTACAGCTGTTTTCATTGCCCATGGAACTGGCGCCTTACACAAAGTAAACAGGTAGATTACCTCCACATTCTTCAGGAAAACCTAAAATCATCAGCCAGCAGGTTGGGTCTTGGATACAGTTACGGCATTTAACCAAATACTAGCATCGCTGTATGTATATTTTTTGACTCAGCAGATTTTGTCATACATTGCTCTTAGGGGGGGAATCTTACTCTGGTTTACCCTTGTTATTGTGAATATATTCTACTTGATTAGATGTAGTTACTTTCCACCGCTGGTTTACAACCTCATTCCTCAACTAAATTAGTTTATTTACTTACTTGTTCAGCCACTTACTTGCTTATTTACCTAATTGTCCTACTTACTTACTAAAGTATTTAGTGTCATTGGTTTAGTCTGCTATTGCTTACACCACAGCACAAGGTGCATATCTTAATATAAAAACAATTTATTTAGACCAAATCAATCCAGCATCATCTTCCATATCATCACTGTTGTTATTATTGTTATAAAGCAGCATGCGTTGGCTGCTGTGACAAACTTCCATCCCAGAATAGAAAGTGCAGCTCTGCAGCTCCGAACATAGGGGACAGCAGGCTATAAGCCACACGGGCCTTACAGAACATGCGAGAAAAAAAAATCCGTGTTGCATTCTGATTGGCTCTCCGTTTTAAACCCCCACGTCGCAGCAGCCAATCAGAGAAGGAAAACACTGGCCTACGCGCCTGCGTTGCTGGGTAGGTAAAACAAAAAACAACAGTGTTCGTGTCAGAGTTTGAAGCTTGGACACAACAGACGGTCAGTGAATTTATTGTGAGTTAGCTATTTAATCGACAAGCGCGGTAGAAAAATGCATGTTTTATATGAGGGCGTTGGTAAAGATTTAGCAGTCGGTTAAATTAGAAGAGGTACACCGAGTCCCCTGACTGTGCAGTTTGATTCTGCCTTTTTTACTGACGTTTGGGCTTCGACAGGATATAAGTTAGCTTAACATGAAAACAGCTACACACACTGTAAACTACGCATTTCGATGTTCTGTAATAGTGCATGTCGTTTTTAAGATATGGTTTGGTCGTTTGAAGCGTCTCTTGGCAGTGAACATTTAAGCTAGCGCAACGTTAGCCATTGTTTATCAACAGTGCGACTTTGAATGAATAGGGGGAGGGGAGGCTGTTATGGTGCAGCACGTCTGGACATGTTATCAGCGCATGTATGCTCATACAATTTCGTCTTTGTTGTTGCAGGTATCATTTGCAATTAGTTTTATTTTTTTGCACTGTTTTGCTGCAAAATCCATTTTCTACTATAAAACATGGCAACTGACTGCGAGGCCTGGCTGAACGCAAACCCTGTTGGTAAGTGTAGACCACACAGACACACGCACACAGTCTTTTAAATGCCTCATCAGCTGTATGGGATGTGGGCCAATGGGACTTTTTCATGCGGAAGTGGTTGTTTGCATGTTCTTCTGCAGAATTTGACACTGATTTTATTCTGCTGCGCATCCTGTACTTTGTGGTTGATTGCCTTTAGAAATTCACTATTTTATAACATAGTGCATATTTGCCTGACTTCACTTAATTTGCCCCCCCCACTGAAAATATGCACAGCACATTAAAGCATCAACTCAACCATAAACTCTGCCCCACTTCTTTCTTGTAATCCAACAGAGGCTCAGGACCTGAGCGACTCCTTTGTATCTGGAGAGGAAGACAACGGTGGATCCCTTGTCGCTAATAAAAATATCAACAATGAAATCAATGGCAACTGGCTGTCCTCGTCCAGCAACAACATCCACGAGGCACGTCTCAAGGCAAAGGCCAAACGGAGGCTGCGAAAGAACTCCTCCAGGGACTCTGGCCGAGGGGACTCCCTCAGCGACAACGGGGATGTGGTTCGGGGAACCACAGCGGTACCAACTAGCCCCAAGAGCAAGCTGCTGGACAGAAAGTCTCGGCTGGGGAAGGGCAGAGGCCTGCCAAAGAAAGGTAAGAAGTCGTACCATGTTAATAAATAAAGAAGTCACTTCAATTTCAGTGTCACCTTTTGCTGATCATCAAAGAGCCACTGGTGTGTCACATCCCAGTGCTTCAAAGCAAAGCCACAACATCACTTTGTGTCATGCTGTTGTCATCGCCTTTTGGCTTTCCATCTAGAAACCATAAACCAATTAGCCGGTGAACAAATGGCTAAGCAATCTTTAGCTGCTCACACCCCTCTAAATGTACTCTTTTCTTTTCTTGCCATCTGCACAGCAGGGGTTTTCACCATCTGCTCAGCAGGGGTTTTCCAGAAACAAAAACTTCTCCTAATGTCTTGTATGGTAAAGTGTACCAGAATTGCTTTTGTTAGTACAACAGGTGCTTTGAATATGATGTAAATATTTCACATATAGATTGCCATCAGGGCGTACGAAGAAAGCTGGTTGTTATTGTAAAGGATATCACGCTTAGTTACTTTAATAAGGTTTATGGAGTGTCTGCTTTTATTGTTTTATTTAATTTGTTATCTGTTTTTGTGCCACTAAAGGGAGACAATGTGTGCCAAGGCACAGTACAGCTACAGATAAATACTCTTTTACACTGTGTGACCTGACTGATAATGTTGCATAATGCCTTAATGTGATTCCTTATCCAATTTATATATCATGCCAAAGACATCTTGCCTTGGCCTCCCAGCTCCTTGCCCCTTGTCTTTGGCACATCACAATTGTATAAGAAGATTAATAAGAAGATTAGAATTTAAGCAAGTGTCAATATTTTCCAGTCATCTAGCTGTCTCTCAGTGATGTAAGCACACAGTGCCCACTTTCATGTCTCTGCAGACTGCAGTACAGTTTAGACACTTTGCTCTTCCCATCGGCAGTAGAACTGGAGCATGCCTAGTTTCTCCTGGCACAGTTTGTCCATTTTTTTGGTTACGTAACAGAGCTGCCACACCAGTGGAGCCCTGTAATTTCAGTTCTGCTTTCCTACATCAAAACTTCATGCTTTGCAGTTTTGAGAGACAGCTGTAGTGGGTGCACAGAATCTTTGGTGAGACCAAACTAGAGTACACAATGTTTTAACGCTGAAGTGGGACAGCCTCTCGCAACTACTGTGGGCTAAGCTAAATATAGTGACATGTCATATGCTACATACTGGGTGGGACTAATGGAGGTTTTAAAGCATGTCTGACAAGCTGCTTTAGTATTGGGCTTCTTAAACTGTCTGCAATCTGCTGGTGCTGACCTCAGACCCAGCAGATGTTTGCTGCATGTGTCTACACAGAAGATGTAGAAGCAGCTTCATGGGTGTGTCGGACACAGTATTGACGTCATCCACGTTTGGAAGCGCTCAGTTCCCTTACACAATCACGGTTACGTATGTAGAATACAGCTTCATAGATTTGAAGTGTGAAAAGCCACCTTGGTTTGTGTTTACAGGCATAAAGCGTTATTAAAACGTAAGCTGTTACGCAGACTATGTGGACAGATGGATTGTTTACGAGCTGCAAAATGTACAACGCGTCACCTCCCCATATAGAGGGATTATAACACATCATGTTTGGTCCTGGGATTACAAAAATGTCGCTTTGGAATTGGTACAGATTACATACACAGATAATGATTAATGATGATAGTGGTTCAGTATTAG